CCTTATACCATTTAAGACACTGCATTCAGTGCATTGGTGAGATAAAAAAATCTAAGGTATCCATGTTTAAGATGAGGAGTTTAAATTAAAATAAGTGAAACAAATAGTCAAATAGAGCCAAGAATTGGTTAGGTCTATGATACTGGACAATGGATAGACAAAAGTTAAAGGAGGAATATTAATCACTAATCTGTATTGTCTCAAATGTTGATGCTAAGAAAAATAAGAAACAAAAATAAAGAACGCAAGAATTTACGATGTTTGAAGAAAACTTAAAAATAAATAAATGAATTACCATCATGTTGTATAAAAAAAAGATACATTGCACTTATTTTTATAATATGCAATAACCTAATTTTCTTTTGACTAATTTAAATATAAAATGTAAACACTTTTTTGTACAATAATTAATAGTAAATACTTATTTATTTATATGTGTGCTTAAAATTATATCACGATTCTCAAGGATTTTATGTTTGTTTTTTAAGTGTTCAGATAATATTTTAAAATTAAATAAGAATTATAAAAATATAAAAAAAGTTAACATAATTTGATATAAAAATGGTAATATTTCTAATATATCAAACTTTAAGCCAATTTCTTCATCAATAGTAAAATAAAATATTCTGAGTAATATATATAATGGTAAATCATATTATTTTCTAAAATCTATCTTGCTATGATAAAAACATTTTAGAGTAAAGTATTTTTTCTGTTGCTAAATATTGTTTATGAGCTTGCTTAACTTTTTTTAACTCAATTAAAATATTTTTTTCATCTGGAAAAATTTCCAAAGCTTCTTCGAAATATTTAATTGATTTTTCATAGTTATTAATTGATCCATAGGCCTTACCAAGGCGGAAAAGAGCCTTTCCATTGTTACAATCTAAGTTTAAAACCTATAATAAAAAGTAAAAGAATTAGTTAAAAAAAAAAATAAATACAAAATTATATGTTTAATGGTTCAAGATAAATTATAATATTTTACAATAAATACTTGGTTGTTAGAATGTTTTTCTAATTATACTTATTGACTTTTTTTGTACCAGTTTTATATCATAATATGCAATTAATGTAATCTATAAATAGTTCTTTAAAAACAATTACTTGTTCTGATAATTCAATTGAAATTTTGTAATTTCCCTCTTTCAAATGAACAGTAGATAAATTTAACAATGTACTTGTTTGTATGGTATCCAGCATATTTAAATCCAATTTAGAATTTTTATGATAACTTTTATACCTGTAAAATATGATTCAAATACATGAAACTTACTTTGCATATATTTAGATAACTAATGATTATTATTAAATTGTATTATTGAAGTGTATAACAATAAATTATTACAACACTATTCAAATAGTAGGTAATTACAATTATAATAATTATTAACAATTTAATACAGAATTTTAAATTAAATTATAATACATAATATAAAACATTCAGAACACTTACCATTGAAAATATCGTAACACTTTGTCATATTTTCGTCTAGCACATGAATAATTTTTACAGCTAAAAAAATAGTTTCCTGATTCTTTGATTTTATTTAGTACATCACAGATTTGTATTACCTTGAAAAAGTATATTTTAATAAATAAAAAAATTCAGAAAATAATGTTAAGTAATTACATCAAGATCAGTTGGTTGAATGTTCCAATCCTCGGGAAAAGGAGGGTAAACATCATTGGTTGAATCATTTTCATTAATATTCCAAGTATTACTATCACTTGAAAGCTCGCCACAGTCTGTGATTATACAAGGCTAAAACAAAAAATAAAAATAAAAATATTAATAATATTATAAAATACTTAAATTTATAATTAAAGTTTTCAACATTCAGTTAAAGAAGAACAGAACAATTTCAAGGAAGACATATGTGTATTTATACAAATCGGTTTAATATTGAGCATATAAGACATACCRAACATGTGTAGCATACCATCAAAACATAAAAATATTAAGATAATTCAGATCTTAGATCATATACTATGGATGAAGCTATGCGTATACCGAATTGTGTCCAACATCATCCCCACTACCTACTAACATTTCAGGGTACACGACACAAATTCTTCTGGGCATGCGCATTTGTGTCGTATACTGTGAAATTTTGAAAGTGGTGGGGATGATGTTGGACACAATTCGGTATACACATAGCTCCATCCATAGTATATGATCTAAGATTTAGATAAACTTTGATGAGTTGGTACATAACTACTCTGTACTTAATTTTTTCTCTTGGAAATCAAGCAACTCGTGGTGATTTTTAAAATTACTAAAAATTGTTATACTTCTTTACAAAATTTGTTTACTATTCTCAAGGGATATTAGTGATAGATATTTAATAATTGCTTTCCAGAAGGACTGGTGAAAACTAGTCAGTGGGCACCTTGTGTAATGTATACAGTATTCATAGATATTTTTCATATTAATAAAACTATTTATAATTTTTAATATAAAAAATATATTAATGAATAAAATTAATATATGYTATCAATATTTTACTCACATTAATAGGGATGTCATTATTAGTATTAGTAACAGAAATTGTTTGAACTACACAAAATCCTCTTTTTACTTTTCCAAAAACAACATTCTTGCCATCCAAATGTGAACATGGAGCAGTTGTGATGAAAAACTGGGAATTATTAGTATTTTTTTGACCTGTGTTTGCCATACTCAAAACTCCAGGTTCTTCATGCTAAAAATGAAAAGTAAATACATATATTAAACAAAAACATATTTTATAATATTATTGAAATCATTAATATGGTGTATATTACTTTATGATATATAGTTTAATAATTAACTAATCTAACAACTTAATTCGAATTAATAAAAACCAAGATTTAGATTTGCAAAGGCTTAGTATCATAAAACCTATTCAATCTCCAATGACTAATGAGGTACTAAGAAATCTCAATCTATAGTACAATATTAAAACATAGTTGAAAAGTTATTTCTATCTAATCAAGTAAAATCATTATACTTTATTAAAAATAAGAATGGCAGTCGACAGCGAAGAGTTTTTGTGACGGTCAGACACTTTCCTCACCAAGTCAATATGGGAGGCTAGTACTTTTGAACAAATACATACACCTACACACAGATTGACCTCAAACTACCAATATCGTTTTGAATAGAGTAAAAATATTAAATACTCATATTATCATACATTTTTATAGAAAAAAGACATACCTAATTTCTTAGTTCATATTGTTCATAGTATAAACTCAATCCGGTTTAAAATATACAAATTAACTAGCTTCAATCCTCTCGCTCTCCAACTATAAATATATTTTAGATTTTTTTAATAGTAAAATCCATTTACCTATATATTGTATAAATAAAAATGAATTCAGGAGTGATATCTAATTTAGAGAATTGATTATACCAATTCATATTTAAAAAAAAAATTCTAGTTACACATTTATTTTGCTTAATCATAATTATTGTCAAATTTAAAACTGGATGTTACCTATAGACTAACACTATAATAAAATATACAATTCAAAATTACTATAACATTTTTTTTTAAGAATATACCTGAAATTGTAAAACAAATACTGAAAATACAGAAAGAAAAGAGATACATTGATATTTATTTAAGTTTACTTAAACATAAGATTTGGTTCAATAAAATGAATTTAAATTACCAGCAATTCAAAGTTTTCATCCTCAAAAAACAAACCATATATACTTTCACCACCAGATCCATTGCCAGCAGTAATGTCACCACCTTGGATCATAAATTCTGGAACAGCTATAAATATTTTTTTTAAATGCCACATTTATTTTAATCAGAATATATTTTAATTGAATATAATTTAATTTGAATAATTTATTATTCTATTATTTAATAAAAAACAAAACAAAATATACAGTTGATGACTACCATGTTTTACCTTTGTAAGTTGAGATTAACAATTATGTATGTCACAATATCACATTTTTGCTCAATTTGCAGAGATTCAATTATTTACAAAGGTTATCAAGTGTATTTTATCTACAGTTCTATTTTAACCTATATAATGTACAAATAAAACGTTTGGGAAATATTACCAATAACAAATTTTATAATTAATTTATATGGCTATGAACAGAGACGTGACAGAGTTAAATTGGTAATACAACTAAAGTCTATATTAATCACTAGACTATTTAACAATTATTTATTAGGTTTGTTGTACATGTAATGAAAAAACTTAAAAGAAAGACCTCATCTAATTGAAATCAACTGTTATATGAATATTGAATCTTGTTTGTATAATGTATTATCAAATATTAAGTACCTATATAAGCCTATTTTTATTAAATTCAATGAAATTAATAATACCTCGATGGAATGATGATCCTTTTAAATGCAGTGGCTTTCCTGATAAACCAATGCCTTTTTCACCAGTACAAAGAGCTCTAAAATTTTCAGCTGTTTTAGGTACAACATTATTAAATAATTCAATAACAATTCGCCCGACTGTAAAATTTAAAAACAAATAATTCAGTAAACTATTCCATTATTAAGAACCATTGCAATAATGTAAAATTTGTACAACTCACTTTTTTCTTGAGCAATTTCGATATCCAAAAAAACTACCGAGTTTCCAGCAATGATACTGCTATTATTATTCATGGTCAAGGAATAAAATATCCAGCTACTGACAATCAGTAGAATCAACTTGAAATTATGTTTATAAATCTGTAATAAATTAAGAATTATATAGTAACAAGAATTTGTAAAACAAAAATAAATAGTTTTAATTACCTCCTTCTTCCTCAGATATATCACATTGTATTTAATTTAAATAATATTACTGAATGAAACGTTAAGTAACATGAAATTGTTTTGAATTTGGTATTTTTTTTTTTTTTTTAATCCATTTTTCTAAATAAAATATATACTCAGTAAAAGTAACATAACTATAAAATAATACTGAAAAAATATAAAATTATTAAGTAATGAATAATGAATATAGCTATAGTCGTACAAATTAAAGACGCCAAGACCTATAAAAAATGTTTGAATCAAACGTAATAATAAGTAATAGTATTCACTATTCACCAGTCATTTCAGTATTCAGTAGTTCAGTACTTCACCAGTGTTATCATTTAATTTAGATATGTTATAATTATTGTTTATCTTTCTCAATGCAATTGTCTATATCACGGTATTAGATTATTAATGTCTATTAATAATGCTTCGATCCCAAGTAGATAATATAATATCATCATTATAGTATGATATAAATATATATTATATAATGTGAACCTAAGATCATAAACGACATAAACTATGGATGGAGCCACGGCGGCACGGCGTATTTTTTTGTTGCCGATATCATCGACGAGTCTCTTGATTAGGTGCTCGATATGCGCATGCGTGAGATTAATCGTCGCATATTTACCAGCTATAGAATCAGATATCAGGTTAGACCATATTATGCCACTATAAATGCATAATTAATTAATGAACTTACACATGCAAAGTTAATC